AGAATCTGGTCCTTTAACATCAAATTTTCAATGGTAATTTTGATGCATTATCACTCATGCCGCATCTGCCTATTCCAATCACTTAAATTTGAACACAGATGACTGCACTATGTAAACGGGATCCCTTTTCCGGGTTGCAAGCGACCAAAAAAACACCTATTCTTTGGGTTTTTCCCTGGGAAAAGATTTAATAGATAAGTGGAAATCAAAACTTTTTGGTTTTCCTTGGGTTACCCGGGAGTTAAATTAAAAAAAAAAAAGAAATTTGCAGCTACCTTTGTCATTTTTTATTTAATAGTCTACAGCTCTAAAATTCACCCCATCCCTGTAGGTAGTGTAAAAGATTCAAAACGCTTGTTGGGTCCAGGACTAGTTATGACATCATCTTTGTAAATGTGGCCTGTTTTTTTTTTTTTAAAAAGAAACATTGTCACAGTTGTGGAGTTTACAATACAGATCATTATTTGCAAAATTTAAACCTATGCCAGTTTTTTAAGGTCCCTTGAATAAAAACACTTGAAATTTATTTTCTTTGACTTTTCTTTTAAAGAAAATATAAAATTTTTGAAAATTTTTTAACCCAAAACTATTTTGACTGATTTTAATATTTTTAAAGAAAAAATTACTACTTTTTACAAAAATTTTTTATAAAAGGAAATAAACGAACATTTAAAGACTTTAAGGCATTATTTTTTTAAAAGGGTTTTGATAAACACACATGTTCGTCCGGGGGGGGTGGAGAATTTTGAAATACTCGTTGCCCTAAAAATTTGGACCCCATTCCCACAGCCCTTTTAGGGGGGAAGGTGCCAGAGCCAGAGCTTACTACCACATGCATCTCACAAGCTGCCACTCCACTAGCTTCTCCCTACAGCCCCTGGGGACGGGAATGGGCTTGGCCTGGGGACAGTTGGTCCCAAAAATGAGGAGGTACTTCTACCTCCTTCCATAGGTCTCAGACACTCCCAAAACAGGACCCAAAGGGCCGGTCACCATCTGGAAAAGACCCGGACCGGGAAAGAAACCGGCGAACCCAAAAGGGTTCCCAGGTAAAGGTGACACATATGGCAAGTTTCCTTCCCAAAACCTTACTGTTCACCTTGCAGTAAATGGACTAATATTCCCTTTTTCCCATAAACTGTGCTTACCACCAAAGCGAAATGGACTTTCTTTTATTAATATCCCAGTTCTCGTGCCACAAAAACTCGAAATTTGTTTTCCTCTAACTTACAAAAATCATAATAATCTCCATAAATTTATAAACTTTAAGCTTGCCTATCTTCTTGAAATTTGGATTAGACCAAAACTTTCGGTGTCTACCCTTATCCTCCCCAAATACATTAGTGAAAATGTCCACTTTTTTTCCTGACAGGCTAAGACAATATACCTAAGATAATAATAATAATAATAATAATAATAAAATAATAATAAAAATTTAATAATAAAATAATAATAAAAACAATAATAATAATAATCTTTATTTCTAAAAGTACATGTACAATGTATACAACCTGACATCAATAATATACAGCATTTTGGGCAAATTAGGTCAATTTTGTCCCAGGATCCAACCCACACCAGTCGATTAACACCCAGGTACCTATTTACTGATAGGTGAACAGGGGCACAGGTGTCTTAAAGAAACACAATTAACGACGCTCTCTTCTGTCAAGTTAGAAAACAACCATTCCATGAGCAGTCCTCTGACAAACTTACCTGTGAGTTTTAGGATTCATTGGCCATGGGTTAAAGGCACACCCGTTCCATGATTTATCTACCTATCCCTCCCACTACCCTTCACACGTTTTCTTGTTAAATCGGCTCTTACACGCAACATTCCTTCACATAAAAATTATCCCGGTTTGTTTCTGCTGATGCTTGGCTTTTTTAAGTACATTTTCAAACAGTTTAATCTTCAAAACATACGCCTTGACCTGACCTTGGCTGTTTCCTACCAATTACTTGACTTATATTTTGGCTGCATCACCTTTGCTCATTCACTCGCGACTTGATGATGGTCCAGGAGTGACCGTAACGTCCATATATAATTTCATTTTAAAATTTGGGACAGTTGTAATCTGTTTCCACCACGGGATTGACTTTCATTCTTCATAAAGGGTTGAAATGAATTTTTAGTGAATATACACAAATATATATCGCTTGTATTCCTAATCGCTGTATGACACACGGCTTTAATGTTTCCTTTTAATGATATATACGCAGTTGTATTCTTAGCCAGCTGGAAAAAATAGCAGACTGTTGGCTGGTTGGTTAATTACACTTAAAGCCTATCGCACACGAGGATCGTAAGGCTGGACATAGTTGTTCACCAACAATCAAGAATACTTTAAAACCCCAAAAATGGCCTATTGGGTTTAAGTAACCTAAGAGTATATGAACTGAGATGTACACCCATGTGTACATGCACTGTTGCTCTCAGTGTACACCTTCAAGTGATATAATCTTCTGAAATAAATAATGCGTAAACAATCTAACATTTACATGGCAAATCAATAGCCTCATTTAAATTATTTCTTGGGTATTGTATCTATTCTACATTCTGATAAGAAAATTGTACAAAAATTTATTATTTATTATTATATTATTATTATTATTATTATTATTATTATTATTATTATTATTTTTTATTATTATTATTAATTATTATATTATTATTATTTTGTATAAATAATTACTATGATTTTGCAATATTCAGAATATAATGCCATTCTCAAACCAACTAAACCTCTGTAAGACCATCCGATCCGATGCTATCTACAAAAGTTGAATAACACTCAGGCACCAGTTTAGTCATAGTCAAACGGCAACCAACCTGGGAATCAAACCGGGTCTTATCATTGTTGGCAACTGCTATACCACTAAGCAACGAAGTTTGATGGGTACACGTCAGTCCCCCCTTACCCGTCCTTGGGGAAGTTGGGTCCACTGAGTCATGACGATTTCTGATAGGAAGACCTCTTCCAGTGTTTGTTGAGACCGAAGTGATTGGGAAACCTCCGACAAGAGGAGCGCCGAACACATAGGCCAGTTCCTCCCCGTGTACCGTCCCTTGTGACTGGGGGAACAACACACATCTTTGTATTCCCACAATCTTGTACCAAATAGAAGTCAAATAATAGAAAGCTTCAAATACGATACTGTTAAATGATGATGATGATGATGACAATAACTGTGGAAAATACTGTATATATTTTCCAGAAATTCAGTATTTATATTATATAGATGGCCATACTGTATTTAAAAAACTTTTAAAGCATAGAAAAGGGGAAACTGAGCCTGGGAGAAGGGACAGTCGCCATTGTTAATTTGAATTGGATACAACGTAGTGTAATGGGAAGGAATTTTCGTGCTCTAGAGGTTAAAATTGGCTGACATTCTCAAATAGGGGGCGAAATTGTTGGATGTCCCATTCCTGCATAACTGAGATTTCAGGCGACAGGACAGGACAACTCCGGGAACCTCAGATAAGTCTGTTATGTTATAACTCTGGCCATTTTATTTTCCCATGTATAGACAGTGAGGTTTCTGAGTATGATACAACTTAATCTCCAGTTAAATTGGTGAGTGATTTTTAAGATTTTCCCTCCTTCTGTTATGTAATTGTGTATATATATAATCATTTTATTATTTTTTAAATATACAGTCCACAAATTTATATATTTACCATATTCCGGGTGAACATATTTCATTGGTAATAATAGGTCAAGAGCAACTTGTGGATATGACAGGGGTAGGTATCGAAGTGGGACATTTTTTTGCGACCTAGGTGTCCCAAATTCCTACTTGTCTAACTGATAAATAATAATTATCTGTGAAATATTTACTGTTATGTACATAATGATACATTCAGATAATGCAATTTTCCACATTTAATTTGCCCGTTGGTCCTTCTTGAACCGGAGGTAATTAGTGAAGTCATTAATTAGTTAAACTACTTAATAATTTTATATGAAATAACAGAAGGAGGGGGATGTTAAAATTCACAAATTTACTTAATGGTATGGATTATAATTATTTCAATATTAATTTGGATAAGTCAAGTGTGGCTAAAGATTATATTAATGTTTATAAGTGTATGTGTAATTGAAACCAAGTGTAGCTAATTATATTAATGTTATATTAATTTAGCAAAGCCAAAGTGGCTAGGATTTATATTAATTATTTTTATAAATATTTTTTGATAAACAATTCTGGCCAAGATTTATATCATGTATGTGTAATTGATAAGCCAAGTTAACTAATATTAATGTTATAATATTTAAATTTTCTATGCCAAATTCTGGCAAGGATTTATAATAATTTGTAAAAATAATTTTTTATAAGCCAGGGTGGCTAAAAGGGTTTTTATTAATGTACATTTGAAGTTTATATTATTTCTTATATGTAATTGCAAGCTCAGGTACTAGGATTGATTTAAAGGTAAGTTGTACTATTTACCTTTATAAGTGCTAATTTAGTACATAATCAGTGTTTTTTAATTGAATTTAATACATTGCATCATGGCTGAAAATGAGGAAACTAATATAGAAGACAAACATATGGAATATAGAGTAAAGAAAGCATCAATACAGCCAGAAAGTTCATTAACCAAGGCATACAATAAGTGATTGGAATTAATGAATCCCAAAAAACTGTCAATACTGATGATTTAAAATTGTAATTTAGATGCTTTAGGTAATAGATATGATTCATACAAATTATATTACAACAAATATGAAGGAGATTTGTTAGTAAACTGTGTAGATGAGACTGAAGTAGATCTCATGATTAATCAGTATTATGAATTAGAGGAAAAGATTCTTTCTTGTAAAAGTCAGGCCTTGAATAAATTAAAATGTGTAAACCAGGCAGTTAATCAGTCTGCTCCAACAAATAATATGTCTTTGCCAAAACTCCCAGAATTGTGTTTGCCTGTATTTAATCCTGGAGAAAATTGGGAGGAATTTTGGTCAATTTTTAAAAGCAGCTGTGCATGACAGAGTGACCTAGCCTGTGTAACTAAATTATTTTACCTCAAAGGACAGGTAAGAGGAGATGCTCACATACTCATACAAGCCTTTCCCAATGAAGATGACTCTTACAAGAAGCAGTTGACTTGTTGAAAGTCACTTATGGTAATATAGAACAAAGTAGGTTGGATCTAGTGAATATCATTGTTAATTTAAAATCTCCAGATCACACTTACAAAGGTTTACAGCAGTTTAGAGTTAAACTGGAGAGCACTCTCAAAACTTTAAGTAATAAATATAATCTGAAGGAATCAGACTGGTTATTGAGTGCCATGGTACAGAATAAATTAAGCTATAAAACACTTGAATGCTCTCGAACAAATATCACAAGGGTTATTTTGGTCTGGAGGAAATAAGACTAGGTCTACAAGAATTAATTGTGCAGTTGCAGACCAGCCAACTAACTCATTTTAAAGATGCAACACATAATAACTCTGAGGTATCTGTCAAGTTTCACAAAGGGAAAAATTATCCCAATGGTAATAATCAAATTTCATTTCCTAAAAAGAGTTGGATAGGTGCATATCAAGTAGCAGGAATCAGAAATAATGATTCTCCACAAAGTAAGAAGAATAAGTACCCTCCTAAGAGTAGCCCAGTTAATAAGAAACCAATCAAAGAAAAGAGAGATTGTCTCTTCTGCAAGGGTACTCATTTTTCTAAGAATTGCATTGCATACAATTCATGGAATGATAAAGTTGAAAGATTGGAGGAACTTGACAGGTGTATCAGGTGTTTAGGTAATCACAATGTAAAGGACTGTTATGCCAAATTAAACTTCTGTTATCAATGCCACAAAGGAAGACACCATATAGTCATGTGTAAGGGTCTATTTGATAATTTTGATAATAATGATAATGTTGACAATCCTGGAACAACAGTAGCTAATGTAAAAATTGCTGCTAATGTTAATAATGATGGTTTTGCTGAACTAGCCTTACCTGTGTTACATGTAAAAATTGATGATAAAAGGCATAAATCAAAAAATGTAAATGCATTATTGGACCAGGGATCCCAGCGTACGTTCATAAAACGTAAATGTCTTGATGGTATGAAAGTACAGATGGGAGATCCCACAACTTTAAAATCATTTGGTTTTTCTCTCGGATAAAAGGTCTCAATTGTATGACACTGTTTATGTAACTGTCAGGTTGGGCAATGAGAAAAAACGTGTTAATGCAGTAATTGTAGATAGACTTCCAGAGAAAATAACTACAGTAGGGCTTAGTAAAGCCACAGAAAGACTTTCACATAATGTAAATTTAGCACCTTCTGGTGTAAGTGATCATTCTGTAGGCCCAATAAACATTTTGATATGTGGTGACTATTATGCCTCCTTTGTAAAGGGTATGGTAAAGAAATGTGGTGTCACCCTTTTGAAGACTGCAGGAGGCCATGTAATGTATGGTAGGATTCCTCGTAATAATAATTCATGACTAGAGGAAACTACAAATACCATAACTGTGTGTCTTACTCATGAAGTCGTACCCCAGTATAATTCTTTCATAGAGGATGGTGTTGAGCCAGTGCATAAGTTGTGGGAATTAGACAGCATTGGAATAAATGTAAATGAAGAAAGTCCAGATGATTCTTTTACTCAGGAGCAATACCTGAAAGATGTAAAATTTGAATCTGGATAATACTGGGTGCGACTTCCGTGGAGACTGAACCATCCAGAATTGCCCACTAATTACAGAATGGCATATGGACAATTAAAGGCTCAGCTCCCGAACTGAGTAAGACACCAGAATTGTTAACTGCCTATAATGATATAATTGCTGAGCAGTTAATTAATAAATTTATAGAAGAGGTACCTCCTGAGCAAGCCAAAATTTATGGTCACTATCTGCCACATCACGGAGTGAAGAAGGATTCTAAGACCACTCCTTTGAGGATTGTGCTTAATTGTAGTGCCAGGAGTAACAAAAATGTACCTAGTTTAAATGACTGTTTGATGACAGGTCCGTCGTTAACGGAAAAATTAGGAGATATCTTATTAAATTTCAGAGTGAAGCATTATGCCTTTACGGCTGACGTAAGTAAAGCTTTCCTACAAGTGGGTTTACAAGAGGCTGACCCACTTAGCCCTCTGAAAACCTTTTGCTTAAGGAGCGTATTATTTGGTGCTACATCCAGTCCATTCCTACTTCAAGCGACGATAAATGCACAACTTAAACATATGGAAAGTCCATTGAGTAAAGTAATGAAAAAACAATTTTATGTGGACAATTTCCTGGGTGTGACGTCAACTGAAGAGGAATGTTAATGACTTATCGAGAGGCTAATAAAATAATGCAAAGTGCAAATATGCCTCTGAGGGAATGGAATAGTAATTCGTCCAAAGTAATGGACAAAATGAGTAAAGATTACCCTGGAGATGAAGTGCCAAAATGTAGTAATGTATTGGGATTAACTTGGGATACTGAGAGAGATTTGTTAATGTTAAAACCTAATAATTACAGTATGCCCAATAAATTAACTAAGAGAGTCTTGCTTGCTGAAGTTTCCAAATGTTTTGATCCACTAGGTTTAGTGTCACCCCTTACTATAAGAGGAAATTTATTAATTCAGGAAGCATGGAAACTTAAATGTGCTTGGGATGAAATTCTGCCTGAGGAATTCATTAACAGGTGGGATGAATTAATTGGCGATTATGAGAAAATTCCAATGTTGGAATTCCCATGACAGGTGGCCAATCCAGATGGGAAAAATGTACTCCACATTTTTTGTGATGCTTCAAAATTGGCATATGGAGCAGTTGCTTATCTTCAATGTAAGTGTTATTTTTCTTGTTATGTCTAAGGCTAAAGTGTCTCCAATTAAATCGTGTACCTTGCCTCAGTTGGAATTAACAGCCATTTATGTAGGTGTCAAATTAGCTAATTATATAAGAAATAAGTTGCAGGAGATAAATATTAGCGACACTGTAATTTGGTCTGATAATGAGGTATCCTTACAATGGATTCGTAATGGAAACAGTAAAATTGTGTACGTACAAAACAGAGTCGCTGAAATTAATCAGATGCAAGAGAAGTATAATAGTTTG